TTTCATTCTTTAGAAAATCAATACCCTTCTCGTTCTTCAAAATATCATTTCATTCCTGACCCACCAACCACAACTGCACAACGTGTTAAAGCAATGACAACAGGTGGTGTTCCAGCCTTTATTGAAATATCAAATATGTTCAATAACCCTGTTATTTTGGAAGATTCATTAATACACCAATTTAAAGAAAATGGATTAAGAACAGTTTTTGAAGGAGATTCATTATGGGTTGATTTATATCCTAATCAATTCAATAATGTTTCAACTGGTCCATCTCTTGACATAGCAGACTTAGATAGTGTTGATAATATATGTGATAAAGCATTACAACAACATCAAAATGCAAGTGATTATGATATAATGATATCTCATTTTCTTGGAATTGATCATACTGGACATTATTATGTTACCAACCATCCATCAATGAAAAAAAAATTAATAGAAATTAATAACATTCTTAATAGATCATTATATTCACTACCTGAAGATACATTAGCATTAGTTTTTGGTGATCATGGATTAACAGAAGAAGGGAACCATGGAGGATCAACACTAGAAGAAATAGATGCAGGGTTATTTGTTTATGATAATAGGAAAAATCGAAAAGGAGGAAGAAAAGAAGTTGAGAAAATAACACAAGTTGATATTGTTCCAACGATTGCAATTGGGATGGGTATTCCTATACCATATAGTAACATTGGAACACCTATTCGAGATATTATATTAGGAAGAGAAGAAGAGATAGAAGATATTCAAAGATATGTGAATGCATTAAACATTACAACTAATCAAATTATTCGATATTTAAAAGAAAAAGAAGGGATAAGAAGAGAAGAATGGATAAAAGAAATAGAAAAAGAAATAAAAAAAATTCAAGAAGAAGAAATAAAATATTTTGAACAGAAAGAGAAATTAATAGAAGTAATGAATGAACATGAACGAATAAGTCATGAAATACATAAAAAATATGTTAAACATAAATCAACATTTAAATTTAATTATATGTTAGCTGGTATTATATTAATGATATTATCATTGTTATGTGGTTTATTCTTTGTTTTTGGATATCCACAGTTCCATTTTACTACATTAAAAATTATTCATGGATTCGTTTTAGGAATGGTTCCAGCTTTATTTTTAAGAAGAATATATGACATAGGTATGAGTAAATTTGATCAGTATGTATTCTTTACAAGTCTTTTAGGAGGTCTTTCTTTTATATCGAATTTTGCAAGTCAGTTTAATACATTTATTCTTTCTGGAACTCGAATCACAACAACTGTTACTTTTGATATTGTTTTTAATCTTGTTCTTTGTTTTATTTATGGGTTTGGACAGTACACAGATTCGTACATTAAAGAAGAAGAGTATACATCATTTTATGTAGCAGAATGGCTTTCAATCGTTATGTTCTTCTTTGCACTATCTCAACGCAAACAAGGTAGTACTAAAATATTATGCCTTCATTTTCTTCTTATCATTTTAAGTTCTTGTATTAAATTATTCTCATTCCATGTAATATCCTTATTAGTATTACCCATTGTCTTATACATATTTACACATTCTATAAATATTTCAATTAGTTCAATATGTGCATTTGTTTATCATTTAATAAGACCATACCCAACTTCATTATTAGGAATTATCTTACCAGACACTATTTATTTGTTAACACTCATTTCATTGATTATATGTTATAAACAACGATTATCAGTTATTCACTATTTATATTCATTGATACCAATGGCAACAGTTATACTACCATACTCTTCATCAACAATACTATTATTATTTATTGGTTTTGTTTATGTTTTTAAAGAGTATGAATTTTCAGAGAGTATTACCACTTTCTTCTTGTTTATTGGTATTCATTTCTTCTTCTTAAGTGGACATGCATTCCAATTTAGTGATATTCAATTTAATGCTGGATTTATTGGAATACCATTCTATTCATTCTTTGGAAATGGCTTTTTGGTTATTTTGAATACTTTCTTCTTCCCTAGTATTGCTGTATTAGCTATTGCAGGAATTATACAGTCAAAAGTTAATGGAACACTTCTTTATACTAGAAGTTCAATATTGGTTATGCTGTTCTTTGGCTATCAACTCCTTTCTATTATGATTTTTACTTATTTTGTGTCTGGACATTTAGAAATATTTAGGTTATTTACACCAAAAGTATGTTTTGATGCAGCAATTACAGTTGTAGTGGACGTAGTTGTTTTTGTTGTTTATTTCATTATAAGGGAATCAAAAAACAATCATTAATTCTGCAAAAACAAAGAATATTAATTTCGTTATTCCTTTAATTTTTTTTTTTTTGTTATTATTTGTAGTTCTTTAGAAATATTTAGTAATACATCAAAATATAACCTATCTTTTGAAACCTATAAGATTTATATCCGTTGTTACAAAGTTTAAGAAAAAGGCAAAAAAGAGATAAATACGAATACTAAATAATAAAGTCTACAGTAAAATCAGCAATAATATTGTTTATAAGATCGAACAAGACTCTTTACATAAGGATAAATACAATCAAGAGATTGACCTCCTGATAATAACTGTTCAACTTGATTAATTAAATCATCAATCTCATATGAATTGATTTCTCTTGGAGAATTTGGACAAACACTAATAACATCAGATTCTTGAGAAAGTTCATAACAACTCTGAAGAATTAATAAAACTATTTGTTTATTAATTGTTTGTCTTTTAATCCTTTTTTCTTCTAGGCTAAATATTTTAACTGGTTTTCTTGAACCAATAGAGCAGTGGTTTTCTTTTTTGCATTGAGTAGTATAATTGTACCTCATAATGTGTTTTGGTTTATCAAATTTCAAGATCTAATATATAAGTTAATAAGTCTTTGATCTGTTTCGTCATCCTCAAAACCATTTTTGACTAGTTTTTTACTTCTCTGAAATTAAATTTTTTTATTAATTTCATTTCATATTTATTCCAATAACTATAACTTTTGTTAGTTTCCTTTTTATAAATTTAGATTTTTTATTTTTTTTTTTGATAACTTCAAGATGAATAGTATAATCTGATTTACCTAAGATCGAGATGAGATTTTGTTTTTTATATAGTAAAATTTACTAAAAAGTAACTCCTCTTATAATTTATCTAAAAAAAAATTAACTATAAAATATAACAAAAAATTAATAAATTAATGATATTTACTTTCATATTTAAGTTTTAATAGTTTTAAGAAATTGTTGTATTAAAATTACTGATAGTTTCTTCATCACCACTCTTTGTATTATCAGGGTATTAATGTGCTGGTTTTGAGACTATACAACCAAAACCATCATCATTACATAAGCGATACATGCCATCCTCCGTTTTATTTGATACCAGCGTTTAATCTCTCTACTTTTTATTAACAGTATATGAACAAATCAAACAACTTATCACAAATCGAATAATTTGTACGTATTTGTGTTTAAGGTTTATTAACTTCTCTTATATTTTGTATTTACAATTATCTGTTTATTACTTTTTCATTTTGTGCATTAATTATATCACAATAATGTGTGCTTTCTTTTGTTTCTCATTTTGTACAAAATCTATTCATTTTGCAAATTTATTGAAAAACAAAAAAGAATAAAAAAAGTTACTTAGAAGAGGAATGCAAGAAGAATTAAAGATAATAGAGAAACTACAACATAAGAAGTAGAATCATCTGTTGGGTTAGAATCAGAATTTGATGAACTACTTTGTGATTGATCTGGTACTTCAATACTTTGAATATAAACGTCATTACCTTGAAGAGTTAATTTATAATTTTCAGAACCACAGCTGTAATACTCTTCAAAGTTGAGAGGAAAACTAAACTTTTGAATATTAGTTTTAGTTGGTTCATTAAATTTAGGTGGGTTTGAGAAACAAATACCAGCAATTTTAAATGAACCAGTTTCTTGTGTTGTTGTTGGTCCATTATCATATCCAAAAGTACTTGGTCTGAAATTATCAAAACTGAAATTTTCATCAGAGTTTTCATAATTTAAGTTAATTGAAATATCATAATAAATTAATCTAGAATAATCTGCACCATTATCTTCATACCACCCTCCAAGGAAAAATGCACCAGTAGCAACTTCATCTTCAGACTTTTCTTTATAAAGAACTGTTACAGGATTTGATAAGAATTTGTCAGTGTTAGTATAGATATTAACTCCATGAGTAACAGCAGAAGGACCTACTTTAAATGAAATTTTAGTGTTATACCCAACAAAATCTTGATCGTCATCTGGTAAAATAGTAATATAACAAGACTTTTCATTGTTAAAATTAAAAATGATTGGCCCTTCTACAGGGTCACAATACATTCTTTGATCTGCTCCTTCGTAATCAAATGCACTCGATGGAATTTCAAAAAGATTACGGTCAGTATCAAATTCGTATTTAACTGCAGAATCTTCTGGTTCTGCTTCACTTGATGTACGTAATCTTTTATGTTGTGCTCCAAGATCAGATTGTTTAAAGTAGTAGACAGTGTGTTGAGCAAAACACCCAACTAAGAGTAATAATCCAAGGACTAACATAATCTTTTGAATATTTGAAGATATAAAGTTTGTTTAAATAATAAAATTCTCCTTTAAATTTCGTATAAAGAATGAAACCAATAATAAATAAAATTATTGAATTTTTAAATTAATAAAATTATAACTCATCGAATTATTTTATTCTTGGAATTATAAAAATGTAAATGGAATCTAAAATAAGATTTCGTTTACAAAAAGTTTTATTATAAATTATAGAAATTTTATTATTAAAATTTAGTTTAGTATTATTAGAGGAAGGTATTATATTTTTAGATTGTTATAGAAAAAAATTATATTTTTAGAAGAAAGTACTATTTAAAAAAAAATTAATTTTTTGTTATTAATATCATAATTTAAAAAATAAAACAAAATTTAAAAATTGTTTTTAATGAAATATTTTTGGTTTTCAGGAGATAAGATTTTATAATAATATGAGGAGTTGAACTAAATAATATCACGGAAAAACTTAAAATTGGAACGGTAATGAACTTTAAAAAATTTATCTTCTCAACTCCAATGAACTGATATTTAAACAAAGAAACTAATATTAATTATCATTAAATAAATATGGGAGACGAAGAAGTTCAAGCACTTGTTGTAGATAATGGATCTGGAATGTGTAAAGCTGGATTTGCTGGTGATGATGCACCAAGAGCTGTATTCCCATCCATTGTTGGTAGACCAAGACATGTTTCAGTTATGGCTGGTATGGGTCAAAAAGATGCATATGTTGGAGATGAAGCACAATCAAAGAGAGGTATTCTTACACTTAAATATCCAATTGAACATGGTATTGTTAATAATTGGGATGATATGGAAAAGATCTGGCATCATACTTTTTATAATGAACTTAGAGTTGCTCCAGAAGAACATCCAGTTCTTTTAACTGAAGCACCAATGAATCCAAAAGCTAATAGAGAAAAAATGACTCAAATTATGTTTGAAACATTCAACACCCCAGCTATGTATGTTGGAATTCAAGCAGTTCTTTCATTATATGCATCAGGTAGAACAACTGGTATTGTTATGGATTCAGGTGATGGAGTTTCACATACTGTTCCAATTTATGAAGGATTCTCACTTCCACATGCTATTCTTAGACTTGATCTTGCAGGACGTGATCTTACTGATTATCTTATGAAAATCTTAACTGAAAGAGGATATGCATTCACTACTACTGCAGAAAGAGAAATTGTTAGAGATATTAAAGAAAAACTTTGCTATGTTGCAGAAGATTTCAATGAAGAAATGCAAAAAGCAGCATCAAGCAGTGAACTTGAAAAGAGCTATGAACTTCCAGATGGACAAGTTATCACAGTTGGAAATGAAAGATTCAGATGCCCAGAAGCACTCTTCCAACCATCATTCCTTGGTATGGAATGTAATGGTATTCATGAAACTACCTACAATTCAATTATGAAATGTGATGTTGATATTAGAAAGGATCTTTATGGAAATATTGTTCTTTCAGGAGGAACATCAATGTATCCAGGTATTAACACCAGACTTGAAAAGGAAATGATTCAATTAGCACCACCAACAATGAAGATTAAGGTTATTGCCCCACCAGAAAGAAAATATTCAGTTTGGATTGGAGGATCAATTCTTGCATCACTTTCTACATTCCAAAATATGTGGATTACCAAAGAAGAATATGATGAATCAGGACCAGCTATTGTCCACAGAAAATGCTTCTAAGTCATTTTTAGTTTAATTCATATTTGATTTTATTTTAATTTTTTAATACTTTTGAAATAGGAATTTATTTAGAATTCTTTTTTGTATCAAATAGAAAGAATTTAATCTAAAATTTAGAAATAAAAACATAAATTATTTATTTGTTGGTTAATAAAACACACTAACACTTCCCTCATTTATCCTTACCTCTGATAAGGAAGTCGCTAGTCCATTTGTTAGTTTATGAAGCTCTCGAGAGCTTTGTCTTAAAATTTGCATAGACTTACTTTTTGGTTGTTTAGATAATAAGTTCCTCTCTTCTTCATGAGGGGTTGGTGTGTCAACATCTTTATTTAACGTTTCAAGTTTTTCATTTTTCTTTTGAGGTTCAGGTGGTAACTTAGATAGTCCTACTCCCATTAATGCAATACTGTAATGAATGAAATAAATGAGATTTTGACTTTAAGTAGTTATTATGAGAAGTAACAGAGGAGTGATTTTGAGCAAAAGATACTTTTAGTAGAAAGAATTGGAAGAGATTCGTATAATGCGTTATTATAGAAATAGAATGAATCAATAAAAATAATAAAATAATAATAACTAAATAGAAGAATATCATAATTCTCCCTTCATACAAAAATCATAGATTGAAGTTAACAAATGGATAAGAAGTAAATTAGTTTAATTAAATAATTTATTATTTGTAGACAATTGGAAAGGAACAAATTTAACACCATCACCAAGATAAAATTTGTTTTGGAATTCTATCCAATGAAGTCTTAATGTATGAAGGAATGCAGAAAGAGATTCCATTCCAATAAGAATACCAAGAGTAATTAATGCAAATACAGCAAAGCCAATAAAGGTTAAGAAGAAATTGTTAAGTTCAAGAAGAGTATAAAATACATATTCTAAGAAAACAGAACCTAATTGTGCATGAGCTAATGACAATGCCCATAAACGAAGATAAGAAGCAGTATTAGAGATACATCCAAGAATAAATTCAACAGCATGAATAGTATTAAAAATAATAATTTCTAATAAATTATTACCATTTTCATCATCTGGATCATCTCTTATTCTAATCCATTCTTTTTCATTAAATGTATAATTTGGATTCTTTTTCTTAATTAATTTAAGAATTCTTGGAAATTTTGATTCATCTGACAATAAACTATCTTTTTTATTAGATTTATTTTCATTTCCTAATAAACTCATTCCATCTCCATTTTCAAATTGTTCTTGTAACTCTTCAATAGTATTATTATTTGTTAAAATATATCCATCATTTTCACTTGGAAGATAAGGAATGTCATTATTTTCTTGTCTCATATCTTCAGTAATAAAATCATTATTTTCTTGATTAAATGCTTGGTAATAATTATCTTGACCTTGTCCATTTTCATTTCTTTTTTGATCTTTCTTTTTTAATATATATATAAGAATTGGTTTTGGAATCATCATTGCAATAACTGATAATATTGTGAATATAAATAATATTGGTTCAATAAAACTTTGTCCCCAAAACATATGATTTGATTCTGTTACTATTCCAAAATTTTGGAACATTTCTAAAAAGACATTTGTAATCATTGGTGCATCTTTAATAAAACACATCCACTTAATAATAATAAAAACAAAGGTATCCAAATGTACAACTCATAAATATTATTTCTGGAAGAAATTGAAATACTACATCTATTAAATTCTTATAATGAATATGATTTATCAATGAAATCCAAATTCCTATTGTCATGTGCCCTACTCCAATAAGAATTGACATTTTCATTTTTAATGAATTGTAAAAATATAATTCGTTATTAGATGATTTCCATATTGGGTCAACACCAAATGGATAAACATAATTTGGGTTACTTCGTTCATAAAATAATCCATTTTCTTTATTCCATGACGTTCCAAATAAATCAATAGCAATTCCAAAAAATTCATTATATAAAGCACCACAATAAATAGAAAATAATCCCATTAATAAAATCATCCATCGTGCTCCAAACAACATATCAAATATTTCATTTCTTTTTGTAAGTTCAATTTTCTTTTGGAATATAATCATTACAAGAGCAAATAAAAATACAATAGTACCATGTCCTATATCCCCAAACATTACTCCAAATAAAAATGGAAATGTAATAATATACAGAAATCCTGGATTAACTTCTCCATATTTTGGAATACTATAAGAGTCACAAAGATCTTGTGAACACTGACTAAACGATGTAGTTGGAATGTATGTTGGTGGAATAGCATTTGGATGTGGTTGAATAACTCCAAATAATGGTTTAATTGGTCCTTCTATTTCTTCCAATGCCCTATTAATTTCATTAAATTGATCTGTTGGAAACCATCCTTCTCCACATAAATGAGAATGTCCTTCATCAACATAAAACATATTAAGAGTAAAATAAACTTGACGTTCTCTTTCAATAACTTCATTCCAAATATTAATATCACTAGCAATTAAACGAAGGCATTGTCTTTTAGCTTCTAATGCTCCATTTAATACATCTGTCAGTTCATTTAATTCTTGTCCTTTTTCGTTAATATAATTTATACGTTCAATAACATCGATTGGCATTGAATCAAAAATTCTAGCTGAAGACGTTGAACATATTTGATTTAATTTATTTAATACTTCATCTCCTTGTACAAACACAACAAATCCAGTTCTTCTATTATCAATTGGAGCTGATCTTGTAACTACAAACCCACGAGACACTCTCCAAATAACCATTCTTAATGATTCCCATTTAGATGTATCTATAATCCCAACCAGATACTTTAATGATTGTGCTGTCATTTGATCAATATCTTGGCCAATTAATTCAGTAATATGTTCAGCTAATGAAATAGCTTCATGAATTCCACTAACCGCACGTTCAGCTGAAACAACATCAGAACTTAATTGTTTAAGATCATTATCAAATGTTCTTATTTTTAATACTAGTTGTTCAGAACTTAATTCAGATTGTTGAGCATCAGCTGTTGCAATTGGTAATAAGTCTACAGCCAAACTATTTCTTTTAAATACCTTATTAAAACCATCTCTACTTTCTTCAAACGAAATAGTTTCTTCAAATAGTCTGATAATTCGTTCTATTTCTTCACATCTTTTAATTTCATTAATAAATCTTCTATCAAAACTTGCTAGATTATCATTAAGATCTATAAATTGAATTATTCCTAATTTTCCAATTCTTTCTACAGTTTCAATAGCAATATTTGATGGAACAATAAGTTGTCCTAATGACATATCTTTCCCTCGAAACATTTCTCCCATATTTTATTCAATGAATTTTTCTATTTACTTTCTAGTTCTTTTTTTAAGTTCATTAACAATTCATTTTCTATCGTCTTCTAAGACGTTTTGTTTCTTCTTTTAATTCCTCATTTTTTTAAGTTTTATATAACGTTACTTGAAATTAAATGATTAATTCTTTGAATTAATGATAAAAGAGAATGATAATAAAAAATAACGTTAAATAAGGATATTAAAAAAAATTATTAATTATGAGAACAAGTTTTGCGAGAATCATCGAGAAACTCATACCCATAATAAAATTCTTTCCCAAACATAATTTGTTCACGGGCTGTTTGTTGAAACGTTTCTGATACAAAGGAAATCATATCTTCACCAATATTTTGAATAGCAACAGAATCAAGCATTATATCTAACTGGTCATTCCAAAGTTGAGTAAATTTAATTAGTTGAACTGTTTCAACGCTCTCTTTTGATCTTTTTGTTTTAATTTGAAATCCATCTCTTATCAATAACTCCGTTAATTGATTACAAGTAAGGGCAATACGATTTCTTTGAGTATATTTCATGAGCTGGTTGTGTGTATACCTTCCATCATTTTCTTTTTCAGATTCGAGTAATTTACATTTACATTCCAAATCCATTTTAAAATTAATAAAGGTACTTCCTCGTTGAAGTGAGACAACAGTAAGAAAAGGCAATGATTTCTTCGCCATTTTTGGTTTTTTTAAAACAATATTGTATCCCATTGATATAAGTAATCTCAACAATGTCCCTTGAATTTGTGACTCAAATGATTTAGACTTTCGTTTTGATAAGAAAAATGGTTTTCTCCCTTTATTGAGTAATGGTGGTTCATCAGAGTCTTCTGGTGGTGGTTTGACTTTATCACTATTTGAATCTTCCATATGTTTTCTGACTTAGACAAAACTAATCTGAATTTTTGTAGATTTCTTTTTTCATTTTATTTCTTCCTCAACTCATTTTTTTAAATATTATATAAACTATTAAATAAAATTAATAAATAAATTCATTTTGAAAACATTCTTGAGTTTTTCATACCTTCAAAAATTTAACCAAACTCAACAAAATAAGAATATTGGAAAGAACTTGAAACAAAATAAAAAGATTAGTTAAAACGTATCCTGTTTTTTGCAAACCAAAAATTTAAGAAGTGTGTCATTCTTTTTGTCATAGAAAAATGAAGGAAAGAAAAAATAAAAATGAAAATTATATTTCTAATAAAAAAAAATAGAAACAGAAGGAAGTATTTTTTTTTTGAAAGAAAGAAAAAAATTGAACTGTATTCAATTACAAAATGAATACATTAACAGAACAAATAGACCCCTTAGATAAAGAAGCAAAACAATACAAAAAATATTCATTCAAAGAAAAGAAAAAACTAAAAACTATTGCTGGAGGTGCGTCTGATATTGGTGTACGTCAAGCAAATGAAGATACATTCCGAATTATTCCTAATGCTCAACAATTAGTACCAATGAAAAAAAATAAAAAAATGGGGTGTGAGTATTATGGATTATTTGATGGACATAATGGATTAGAAGCATCAAAATTTTGTGCTGAACTTATGCACGAAGAAATATTAGAAGATCCTGATTTTGTTAATGGATATTATGAAAATTGTATGGTAAATGCATATTATAGAATGGATTGGTTATTATGTAATTATCATATTAAAGATAATAGTGGATGTACATCAGTTACTGCACTAATACAAGGAAGGTATTTAGTTGTAGCAAACGTAGGTGATAGTGAGTGTCTTGTTATTAAATGTCGTTATTCAAATGAAGTTGAAGTATTAACATATAAACATACAGCAAAAGATGAATCAGAAAAACAGCGTATGAAGTCAAAAGGAGGAATAGTTTTTAATGGTAGGGTATATGGTTCTATGGTTGTTTCTCGATCATTAGGAGATAAAACTTATAAAGTTTGTATTTAATTTAGTAACAAATATATAATTTAGTCATTTAATTGATTTAATGAAATACTTAAGCCTTAGGGTAAAGGAGTTGTTATTCCTGAACCTTATATTAATATTTATGAATTAACAAGTGACGACAAAATTATTGTATTGGCATGTGATGGCGTATTTGAAAAAATGTCATATGATGATGTTATGGATTATGTATGTACACAAAAACAACAAGGAAAAAATCCTCAAGAAGTTGCAAGAAATTTAATTCAAGAAGCAATAGCAAGAGGGTCTAGAGATAATGTTACAGCTGTTATAATATTTCTGAATTGGTGTTAGTTTGTATCTAATTAACTTTTCCCTAAAAAAAGAGTTCTTGGAATAAATTACAATCAACCAAATGAACTTCATTTTTTGTTCTTCTTTTATTCTTTTGAGAATGAACTTATTGTTCTATATTTATAACCCCTTAAAATAGGTTTTTTAAATTAAGATTTTTTTAAAATTTTTCAGTTTTATTTTTTTATGGCAGTTTTGTACTTTTTTCTTAGAAATTTTAATTTTTGTTTTATCAAATTTTTTTTGTTTAAACAAAAAAAAATAAAAGAGCTAAAAATATTTAAGAAAAAAAAGGAACTAATAAAACCATTAAAGGAGAAAGAAATGAGCGGATCAGAAGAATATGATTTCCTTTATAAAATAGTATTAGTTGGAGAAAGTGGAGTTGGAAAATCCAACTTACTTTTAAGATTTACAAGAAATGAATTTGATCCTGATAAACGATCAACTATCGGTGTAGAATTTGCTACACGATCTATTAATTATTGTGATAAAAATATTAGAGCTCAAATTTGGGATACTGCTGGACAAGAAAGATATCGTGCTATTACCAATGCTTATTACAGAGGTGCTTTAGGTGCTTTGGTCGTTTATGATATTACTAAAAAGACATCATTTGAATCAGTTGAGAAATGGCTTGCTGAGCTTCATGAAAATGCAGATAAAAAAGTAGTTCAAATGGTTATTGGTAATAAATGTGATTTAAATCAGACAAGAGAAGTACAAACTAGTGAAGGTGAAGAATTAGCTAAAAAAAATAATGCATTCTTTTTTGAAACATCAGCTTTAGATGGAAGTAATGTTGAAGAAGCTTTTATGACATTACTAAAAAAGATTTATGATGATTCTAGTAAATCTGTTGATGGAGAGCAAAGTAGTAATAATGAAATTAAACCAGCAACTGAGCCTATTGATCTTGGAAGTCAAAACAATAAACCAGAAGAAAAGAAGTGTTGCTGAAATAAAAAGAAGAACAGGAAATAGGGGAATTATTTCCGTTGTTTTAATTTTATTTTCAACGTTCTTTATTTAATTTAAGTTTTTAATAATAAATGAATAATTTACTATTAATTAATAGAATTTATAAATAGAAGAACAAGTATTATTTTTTATTGTTATTATAATAATTAAAAAAATAATTAAATTGAAAGAATAAACACTAACAAAAAATTTAATTATTGATTTAAATGAGTGTTGATATAAATCATTTTTTATTCATCTTCTTCTTTTTGATTAAATATTTTTTTTGGTTGGTCTGGTGATAATTCCATTTGCATTATTTCTTCTATATCTTTCATAAATTTATTTGCTTCTTCATCACTAAATTGTGATGGATTTGGTACAACTGAATAAAATTCAACAAGACTTGTTGGTGGATAGTTTGCAATAACTATTTTTTCTTGGGGAGTAAAGTCAAATTGTTTAAGATATTCAGCAAGTCTTAATAATCTACGTTTATGATATAATGGTCGTGCTGTTTGTGTTTCATGTTCTCGATATATAAAATACTCAAAACTTGTTAAGTCAATATTTTTTTTAACTTTGTGATTTAGTAATGACATTAATTCAGCATTACTTAAAAGTCTATCTTCTACTTGTTGGTTTTGCATATAATATAATAAACTAGGTTTAATATTTCAGTTTTTATTCTTTTGATAATTCTTCTTTGATTTTTTTTCTTTTTTTTTTTATTGTATTATCTTTTGCTTTTTGAACTTTTATTTTTCTGATATTATTTTTATTGTAATCTTCTTATTTCTCAATACTTCTTATATTATCTTTTTTTTTTGAGATAATCAACCTTTACTTTATTGCATGAAATTTTTCATCGTTTTGTCGCTGTTATTTAAAAAATGTCTTGTTGTGTTCATTTCTACTCTTTAGGTTTTTTTTTTCAATACACTTCAAAATTTATTATTTTCTTGTTTTGTTAGTATTTCAATGAAACAAATTCTAAGCCATGAAAAGGTAAATTGAATAGAACTAAAAAATGAAAAAAGAGGAAGATAAAATAATAAGAAAGAATAATATTTTATAAACTATATTAACTGACAAAAAAAAGAAAATTTCAATAGAATAACTAGAAAATAAACTACTTTTTATAGTTCAATTTATGGAAAAGGATTCTACTAAACATCGAAAGAAAAATAATAACATTCCTTCTCCACGAGAACTTAAAACTAAAGGAAAGAAAATTGATACTTCTTTATCTTCTACACAACCAAACACACCAAAAGGAACATCAGCATTTTATTCTTCATATTCTGAAGACAAATACGATTCACCAAGAATTAATGAAAGTTCATTAAATCCAAAAACATTTAAAGGAATTCCAAATATAGTAGATAATTCAATTAAGTATTTAAGAAATACATTAATACTAAGTACTCTTTATCAACGTTCTATTGATCAATGGGATAATGAAGAAATATATTCATTAAATTTTGTTCAAAACATACCAGCTTTAAAACAATTATTATCAACATCAATTAATCCAAAAATAATTTTACAATTTAATTATCAAGATTTTATTAATAATAAACTTAGTATTTTTGAATCACAACGTGTAACTCATTATATTTCACAATTACGAATGATACCAAATATATTTAGTTTGTTAGTTTTTTATTTAAATTTTATTTTCATTTTAATTCTATTCATTTGAATCATTTAATTATTTTTATTTAAGTAATAATAATTTAGAACATTTAACTTCTTTAACATATTTTGATAATACTGATATTAAATGTGTTTTTAATTTATTACAACGATATAGAAATGGAAGTTCAATTAATCTTTATCAAGAAGCTAATCCATTTCTTGTAATTGTATTATTAAAATATTTTTTCTTATCATTACCTCAATCATTCTTTTGTGATAAATTAATTATTGAATTGTTAAGTATTATAAATTCTTCTTCTATTGATAGTGAAATAAGTTCAACATCAAATAGAGGTATTCAGTGTTATTCTTGTTCTTCAGAACAGACAAAAAGTTCAGAAGAAACAACAAATTCATATGATACCATTGGATCAAATACATTATCAACAAAAAAAGTATATAAAGAAAAAGAAATTAAAACAGTTTTAAAACAATATCTTGATATTGAAGAGCAATTAATTTTTCAAGAAATTATTGAATTAATTCTTGACATAAAAGAGGTGTATGGAAGTGAAGAAGGAAGTTATTGTACAAGATTTTTCTTAGAATGTTTTTCACCAGAATATTCATTTGAAGAACCAATTTATTCATTAATTCCATCATTATATACAAAACATAAATACGAATCATTATTTTTATTTGATTCAGAAGATTCATATATTGGTGAAATAACAAAGTGTATCTTTGATAATGTTAGATGTCCATTATCTGTTCTTAATGAACCATTAACAAATCAAGAAGTTACAATTCCAGGAAAATTAGCAATAACAAATTATAGAATTATTTTTATTCCATCAGTAAATCTTGATGTTCAAAGAAAAGCAATACTTGGAAGATTTTCTCAATGTCCATTAAATAATATTATTGAAAAAAAATGGATTGAAATGGAAGGACATTCAATAGAATATGCAATGAGAATTATAACAACGAATTATAGTATTCTTACATTTTTTTCATTTGACAATATATTTAAAATTATTGACAAAATTATAGATGAAATTATTAATGAAGGAATACATTGTATTTTTGTTAATAGTAATTTAAAATATACAGTTAATAATAATATTGATTGGAAAAATAGAATAAAACGATATCATTGGGAAATTTTTAAAATAAATGAAAGTAATGATAAATTACCATTTAATGCACCATTAATAGAAACAAATATTAAATGTTTAGAAACAAATAGGGAAATTTATATTTGTTATCATATTATTAATACAGGAGCAAATTTATATAGATTAACTATTCCTTCTATTAAAAATTTAAAAAATGAGATAATAGTTGACATGAAAAATGAAGAAAAAACTAAGTGTGTTGAAGTTAATATTAGTGATTTAGAAACATTTGAAAAAACATTTAATGATATATTAAATAATTTATCAAGTAATAAAGATTCTTTAAATTATAGGACATTTATTGAAAAAATTGGTAAAGTAAATACTTTTGTAACACACTTTTTATCAATATGTGAAGAAATTATTTCTTTATTAAATAGAAGTAAAAGTGTATTATTAATTCCAAAAAATTTAAAAGAAAATGAAGTTGGAATATTTTCAGGATTTATTGAAATTATATTAGACCCTTATTTTAGAACTTTTAATGGATTTATAGAAATGATCCATTGTGAATTTTCTTCATTACATTTTGATTTTGAAATACAAAGAAATAGTTTTTGTTTCTTTATTGTTTGTTTATTCTTATTATATAAAACTTATCCAACACAATTTGAATTTAATGAGTCATTACTTCATTTTATTTTTTATCATTATAACTCAAGAGTCTTTAAAGATTTTAATCAAAATGATATATCTTCATTACAAGGTTATATTCAATCCCATTTAAATGATTTTAAAAATGAATTTTACGAAAATACATTAGAAGTTATTCCTCTTCAATTTATAAAAGTTCATTTTTGTAATGAAATCTTTTGTCAAGTTCAAACATACAATCCACAAACAGTTGCTAAATTACTTCAAAACTGTCGTACTGGAGATTTAAATTTACAAGAAATGAATCTGTTTTTCTTTCCAATTCATCCCTCATTTCCAATATTAAATGGAATAACAAAATTAGATTTATCAAATAATAAAATAAATGATTTTCCAACTGAAATTGGTAAATTAACAGGACTTATTGAATTAAATCTTAGTCAAAATAAATTAATTATATTAAATGATATTGTTTCTAAATTAACATTATTAACACTATTAAACGTTGCAAATAATAATCTTACTTCTATTCCAAAATCTATTACAACGTTAAGTATTATTAATTTAGATATTAGTAATAATGATTTACAAAGACTATCTTCTGTTAATTTCCCAAGTTCTATTCAGAAATTATCATTAAGATCAAATTTCTTTTCTTCTTCTATTTCAAATTTACAATTAACTTATCTTGATATAAGTGAAACACATGGATTAGAACAAGGGGATTTTGCTTTGTCATTACCAAAATCATTAGTTGAATTAGTTTTAAATAAATGTTTTATTGAACATGTACCACTTTCAATATCTAAATTAACTAATTTAGAACGTCTTGATTTATCTATGAATGAAATTAGTAATCTTCATCCTTCTTTCTTTACAATGACTCAACTAAAACAATTAAATCTTAAAAAAAATCCTATTCCACAATTATCATTTATGTTTAGTAGATTAGTTTGTTTAACTAATTTACTCATTGACGATATCGTTTCTATTCCAACAGTAATGAAAAATATGTTTCCTGAAAGAGTAATTAAAGAAAAAGTAATAAAAAAAGTAAATGATGACGAGTTTCAAGTATTTTTAACTGGTGATATATCTAAAAGTGAAATTTTATCTCTTTTAGCAAAAAAAAGTGGAAAAGAAGTTGATGGTAGATCATTTCTTTTAGAAAAAAATATTCTTGTTAGTGATATTCCTTGTGAAGTTATTGAAGAAAATCCATTTTTAATATTAAAAAATTCAGTTTTTGTTATTTGTAAACGAGTTACAAAAGCAAAAACAAATGCTGTTCCATTCTCTAGATTATTAAGCTTCTTTTCTTTTATTAGATTAAAACAACCAATAATTTGTGTTAGTGTTAGGGTAAATGAAGAAACATTATTAAAACAAGATGATTCAATTCAAGAAAATTTAAAAATAACTTATCCAGAACTTAAAGTATCATTCACTTATTTTGATATTAATGGAAAAGACAAACAAATAAAAGATTTCTTAAAGATTATTAAAAGTGCTACTGAACAATGTAAAATAAATATCTCTCCATTAACAAATAAAGTTATTGATGAGCTTAAATATATTGATACAATTCCAGGTATATTAGAAATAGATTATCTTAAAATGCTTATGGAATCATTATATATTAATAATGATCAATATAAATTAATTATTGAAACATTACAATCATTACATCAAATTTTCTTATACCCAGAAACATATTCAAATAAATTATCAAATTATACAATTCATACTTTGAATAATAGACCACACAAAAATCATTATATTTTATTATCTTATCAATTACCTGAAATTATTTATCAAATTTTATCAAAAAATGAAACATCTACTGGAATTCAACTTCCTGATTTCTTTTTAAATCCAGAAATACCTCATTTAACATTAGAACAACAAGAATATATCTTAATTTTATTAGAATACTTTCAAATTATTTTTGTATTAAGGAAATCTTTCTTTGAACGTATTGGCTTAGCTGATGAATTTGAACAACTTAATAGATGTGTTAATAATCCTAATTTAACTAATAAATACAGTTCTCAATCAATGTCTAAAAGTACTACTGAGAGTGGTTTAAATCAATCTACTAGATTACTATTTAATAATTCTACAAATTCAATGACTACTATCCCTCTTAAAAAGTCTTCTTCCTTTAAAAAACACGGAAGAACACCAAGACTTCAATTACCAATAGAGTCACTTAGTCCAACATCAGGTTCTCCATTTAGTAGATCTCCAAGAGGTTCAAGGATAGAAGTTATAGATAAAAAACAATCATTACCAAAAGTAATGATTTTAAATTATTATGGATTATCACCAAATATGGAAGATGGATTATGGGAAGAATGTAAAAAAGATGAAGTTGAAATTGGAAGATGTTATAGGTATAATTGTCTTCCAATTCAATTTTGTATGATGTTATATTCATTATTATCAGTTAAATATTCAGTTATTAGAGGATGGAGAGGAGGAGTATTATGTAATATTGCTGTAGAAGAATCACATTATCAATTATTAGTAGAGTGGGATCTTGATAAATTAAGAATATCATTTAGATTAAAAATAATTGTTAGTGATGTTAATTCATTCCTTAGAACTAAAGACATTTGGCAAGAAATTAAAATATTACTTAATATAACAATGAAATATTTTCCTCAAATTTTATCAACTTGTGATGTTTTGTGTCCTCACTGTCTTACAAAATTGGTAAGTGTTGATAGTTGTTATTGTATTTCTATGGATGAAATTGATGAGACATTACAATGTGGATTATTTGCAGATATATTTGGAGATCATTGTATAGCCTTTGCTTTAAATTGTTGGGATGTTTTAGTTCATAAATTAGAAATGAAGAAAGAACCAATAAAAAAAGAAGATATTGAAACATTATCAACAATTACACATGGAAGTTCGTCACAAATTAATTTATGTAAAGTAAAAGGATTTAATGAAAATGTTGTAGTAAAAGAAATGGAAATTGATTTGACAGGAATGTTAATGAATGGTGATGATTATGTATCATATTATATTGATCGAGTAGAAGATTTTCTTAGAGAATGCGAATTTCTTACATTCCCTGAAAGTCCATATATAGCTAAAATTTATGGATATTGTTTAAATCCATTAAGTATTGTAATGGAATATTTTAATGGAGGTTCATTGTTCCAATATATTTCAAAAAATCATAATATTCCGTGGAAAGAAAGACTTCAAATAGCTATTTCTATTGCCAAAGGAATGACAGTATTTACTAGTCAAAAATGTCCAGTAGTTCACCGTGATTTAAAATCACCAAATGTTATATTAAAAACTAATAAAGAAGGTAAAATAACTCAAGTTGCTATCACTGACTTTGGACAAAGTATTCCAACATTCGCAGAAAATTTTAAATCATGTCATTGTGTAGAATGTTTATATTGGTTAGCACCAGAAGTAATTGAAACATCAACGTTTGAGTTGGAAAGTGATGTATATTCATATGGAATGATTTTATGGGAATTATCTACTCTATCAGCTCCATTTCCTCAATTTAATTTTATGGAAGAAGTTCGTTCATTTATTATGAGTGGAAACCTTTTAGAAATACCACCATCTCCATATCCAGAATTTGATAGTATTATTGCTGATTGTTGGAAAGTAGCTAAAGCACGACCTTCGTTTGCTGCGTTGGTAGTTAAATTAACAAAAATTTACAAACAAATGTAATAAAAAAATTAATTCAACGTCATTTCTTATTTTAAAACATAATTAAGTAAGTTATTTTAATTAAAAAAAAAGATAAATTATTTAATAAAAAGAATAACTTGATTAACAAAAAGAATAATATGTTGAAAGTCTCCAACTTAAACAATTAGTACCAAATACTTTAACTGATGATGGAATAGACATTGTTTCAATATAATCACTATTTGAAAAACATCCTTTTCCAATTTTAGTTACTGAAGATGGAATACAAATTGAAGAAAGACTTGGTAATCCAGCAAAACAATATTTTTCTAATGAAGTAACAGAAGGTGGAATTATATTTCCATTTTTTAAACGGTCATATTTAGTGAATTTAATAAAAGGAGTTTTTATTCCAGCTGATTCAAATAAAGGTTTTGTAAATAATGGGATTGAAAATTTAATCGTTTTATCAAATGGGTGATAGTCAAATTTTTGTAATGACAAACAATTAAAAAAACAATTATTTCTTATTCGAGTTACTGAAGAAGGAATGTGAATTGAAGTTAATGAAGTACAGTCTTGGAATAATCGTTCATTTAAAGTATTAATACAATCAGGTATAACTAAAGATTTTAGTGACAAACATTTCTCAAAACAACTACTTCCAATAAATGAAACTGATGATGGAATTATTATTGTTTTTAAAGAACTACAACCATAAAAACAAAAAGCCCCTATTGAACCAAGAGTAGTTGATAATTGAATTGAAGTAAGAAAATTACATAAATAACAACATGAAATTGGAAGAGAATGAATTGAACTTGGAATAATTAAAGAATGAAGAGAATTTTTACACAAACAACGTGGACTAAGAACTTTAATAGATTCTGGTATATTAAGTGTTTTTAATGAATAATTACCATAAGCATAATAACCTAGATAATTTGCTTGAATTGGAATTGTATCACCAAAATCATCTCTATCATATATAGAATATTCAACTCTTAAAAACTTTCTTTGAATTCTATTTGTTTTATTTTCTTGAATAATTTTTACATATGTTGAATATTCTATTTTACAATCATAAACAATATTTTGTATTCCTTTAAGTATTGGTTCATCATTTGAATAAATAATTTGTGTTTGAAGATTTGGAAAATATTTTTTCATTTTTAATGTTATTGGTATTGGATTATAATGATATTTCTCTAATGTTAATTTAAATTTAGAATTTACTAAAGTAATATTAAAATAATCATGAATATTTTGAAAGTATTTTCCAACAATTAATATTGAATATCCATCAAGTTGTTTCATTTTAATTTCAAATTTTTTTTAGTTTTTTATTTTTTATTAAATAATTTATTTTTATTATAAATTAATTTCTTTAAAAAATTAAATTTTAAAAATGTCTAAAATGAAGAAATTTAATGTAATGTTTCTTCATCTTCATAATGAATGGTAACAACTGGCTTAATCAGATTTGAAGGTTTTTTATGCATTGTTATTAAAGCTTCTTCTAATTTGTCAAAACCTTCAAATCTATGAGTAATTAATTTTGAAACATCAATCCTTTTAAATTCTAATAATTTTGGATAATTTTT